CAAAGAGACTAAGTACTTATTTGGATAGACTCTCAGGCTGCTCCCGGTGGTGCTGGCCCTGGTGATCGCGCGCTTTCTGATAGTTACTATGGAGGTGGACAAGGCGGCCCTCCCCAAGACCAAGGCTATCCACCTCAAGGTCATGGATACCCGCCTCAGGGTCCTCCTCAAGGTCAAGGATATCCACCCCAAGGATATCCGCCTCAAGGTCAAGGCTACTCACCGCAGGGCTATCCACAACAGCAACCATACGGCGGCGCTCCTACACCCACAGGTCCACCAGCGCCGTATGGAGCGCCTCCGCCGATGCCACCGGGCTGGACTCAGCAATGGGATCAGAACAGCCAGCGATGGTTCTACATTGAGCAAGCAACTGGCCGCACGCAATGGGACCCTCCTTCGCATATGCCACCTGGCCCATATGCACCACCTGCAGCAGGCGCACCCTACATGCCGCCAGCCGGTCATGATGAGCGCGGCCTATTCGGCAACACCCACGGCCACCAGGGACACGACTACACGCAGTCTGGAGCTGCCACTAACGAGGCTGAGAAGAAGAAGGGCCATTCTGGTGCCATGCTCGCTGCCGCTGGTGTTGGAGGTATCGCAGCCGGTGCCTTCATTGGCCATCAACTCGGTATATTGCTTTCGTGTATATGACATGCGACAGCGCGACTAACACATGCCAGCCGACGACAGCAGCGACGACGAGAAGCAGCAGTCGTATGCACCTCCAGCAGCGGCTCCCGCAGCTGCTGCAGGTGGCTACGGTGCTGACCCTGGTTACGGGGCTGATCCCGCCTATGGCGCTCCTCCCCCAGCAGACCCTAATGACTATGACAACCACCCGGCCTTTGAGGAGCCCCCTCCCGTTCCCACCCATGACGCCGACGGTGACTCCATCTCAAGTAGTGACCGTGAGTCCATGGAGGAGAAGCGCGAGGAGCTCATCGAGGCGCAGGAGGAGTATCAGGAGGAACTCGAAGAGAACTACGACGACTAAACGCAGGACTTTCGGTCGTCGGTCGATCGATCGATCGGTGCGTGGGGTAAAGAGGGATCACGAGTGTAACGTCAGGTATTTTCTAAGACTTATGAGCCACGAGTATTGTTAGCATAGTGCAAAGAAGGAAGGATCAGCCAACTTGTGATTCTCTCACTCGGATTCAAAGGAAAACGGTTTCAGATTTGTACAAACTAAGGCAATACCACTTAACTCCATCGTCACTGCAGTGACGAGCCGAGGGCTATTATTCCATACCTCTCCACTGTTGTGCCCCCATCGAAAACCCATGGATATCCGCGCCCTTACAACCAGAGAACGTGGTGAGCGTGTATTCATCCCTTTCCCTCTAATCCATCGTCGTCACCGTATCGCATGTTGTAGCGAGCGTGGCTAGCAGCAGTCGCAGCAGTCCAGGCAATCGAGGCAGCATTCGCATGTCTCACCGCAGAGCCAGCAGCAGCACAAGGTCGCAAGACTAGTCGTCGCATTAGCTCTGTCCATGTTCCGTAACTATGCAACACCCAGCCAGTGTTGCGAAAAGGAAGAAAAGACTTACCAAGCAGTCAGGCATCCTCTCTCCTTCTTGGGCTCCTCTTGTGGCGGCGGTGGTCCTTGCTGATAGTACATCTAATTCACGAACAGCGTCAGCCACACCCCAAATCACCGCAAACTTGCCATTGCACGTTGTGATAGTAGATTAGACTTACCGGTTGCTGAGGCGGTGGCCCATAGCCCGGCTGCGGAGGGCCATAGTAGCCAGGTTGTTGGGGAGCAGGGTAGCTCATATTTAATAATTTGGTATTGTAGACCTGACGTTGGAATAGAGATGCGGGCTCGTGGCTGGTGAAGCGTCTAGCTCGTGGTGTGGCAAGTGAAGAGAGGCTGGTGTTGAGGGTGTACTGTGGCAGAGGAGTGTGGCAGACGATATGTGTGGCACAGCAAAGTGGAACTTTTAGGGGGACCAACCCGTGCCTTTTAAGATTGCACCTCTTGACGCGCCTGGCTATTGCTTTCGGCAAACGGCAACACCGGATCTGCGAGGTAAAGGGTGCGAGAGGCTATGCACGACCCAACATGCTCATCGCAATTCACCGCGTCCATGCCGGTATACGTTCCGTACTTTTGGACGGCTGCGGGTGAGCTTTGCTCGGCGCCACAAGTGTGGCAGTCAGGGCGCGTAGCTGTGGCATTTGCTCGGGCTTGCTGAGGCATGAGTGGGACCAGGCAAGCCACTGCTGTGACGATGGACGCACGACCCTTGTCATACGCGTATGCAAAGTCTTGGTATGTAAGGCGCATGACTTGACAGCGTTTCGTTCTGTGTGCGAACAGTACGATTTACGCTGCTTTGCTACGTGGTGCCGTGTTGCAAGCATATCTGTTCAGAATGCGAGACATAGTGAACTAACATCGTATGTATAGATTTTCGATACTTCTTACCACTGATCCGGGAAAAGTGCGAGCTGAAATGACCTTTTCGTGAATGGCACATGTGAGGTGCTGTTGGGTTGCATATGCGAGCTTGCCGTCTGTTCCGGACGCTAGTGACCAATGTAGCTTAGCTGTGGCGCCACTTTTCAACAGGCAATATTAGACGGGCTAGTCAAGTGGCTCAGTCGTTCGTCCCCTTGGCATGACAGCAGCGACGAAGCTGGTGCTCTGACGATATCATGCCTAACACATTCCTGCCACGATTCTACTTGTGAAGCCTGACACGAAGACGGAGGCATCGCCAAGAGGTCCGAAAACTACTGTGGTATTGATGCCGAAGACCTTGGGCGGCGCGGATGCGTCCGGCGCCAAGTCAGCATGTACGCCGTCGGCGACCAAGTGGAGAGTCTGCGGTCCGAAAAGCGATGTTTGTCACTCTGGTTGGGAGCCGGCTTGGCGGTAAAAGGACTTTGAGGGCAGTCGACTAACCAACATAGCGACTTCTTGTGGCGCAGGTGAGGCGCAATCTCGATACAAGCAATGGGATCCCAGGATTGTCAGTACCAAACAAACGGGTCGATCCGTATGACAGCTCGTCGTTTCGTACTGCTAGACGACGCGTGACTTGGTAGACAAAGCAGAAGAACGGCTCGTAGAAGTAGTAGTGTGGAACTCCAAGGGGGCGCTCATGGATGATCTTTCGCTCGTTCGAACAGTGAATACGTTGCGTTATCGACTCCTTCGCGAGAGTAGCGACGACTGCCGTGATTGACAACCCTTGAGGTTACGATACGTCGTCACCGGATTTCTATACTTCCGCTGGCCGAGGCACAAAGCCCCGTTCGGCTCTTCGCTTCTGCACCCATTCGCCGAAGGGTTTCCAGATAGCCTCTTTCTCGGCCGGCTTCAGACTTGCCGCTAGACCGCTCGTACTCGTAGTAACAAAAACCCTGGACCCATTCCATACATTGCCATCGGCATCCTGCTCTTCCTGGCCATCCTCGCTTTTGCCCATGTTGTGCTCCTCATCCTGCCACCCATACTTGAAATCTTTCTTGCCCATGCTCTTGCCATAGCGATACCGCCAGATGGCTTCCCATATACCCTTGCCTACTATGCACACAGCCTCTGGCTTGTATTTGAGGAACTTGGCATCCAGCTGTGCTGTACCGGCCGCAGTCTCCTCTTTCGAGAGCTCGGCAGCGTCTTTGGAGGGTCTCTCGACAATGTTGGTATTACCCATGCAATAAAGAGCAGGGAGACTCCGGTCTTCCTCAGGCTTCAATCGACGGTCGGTAAGTCCAGATGAGTGGAGCAGCTTCCAGAATAGGTTCGAGGGATGGGCATAAGCATGCCCTGCAGCGGCCGTCTGAACACCTGGATTCGTGCCAACGAAGACACAGATCAGATTAGGCTCTAGTATGTCGACCAGCGGCGATAGATGCGCGTATTTGGATGGGTCAGCATATTTGCTGGGTTTCCTCTTCTTCTTCGGTCGTGGGGAAGGTCCCGGTGCGATCTCTGCGGCCGCCGTCACGAAAGTCCTAGTGCGCTTTCGAGGTTCTGTCGGCGATCCGGATGGTGGTCCGGTACGTTGCTCCGTCTGCGTTTCGGTGTATTGGAACTTCTTCAGTCGGCCTTGGAAGGATGCAGATGATGGTGTCGCCAGCTGATCATCGGGTTCTTTGACATCGTCATCACTCAGAACTGGTGGAACTGCTTCAGCTTGCTCGCAATGCCGCTGATTCGAGCGTGTGCGGGCCATGCGTGTTGCGTTGTGTCCCAGATTTGAGAAGGAACGTGGTCACAGCAAGTCGCGTCCCTTCGAGATCCAGACGCGTTGACGTCATCAGACCCACTTTCGCGGAGAGCCAATCGCTACCTGTGCACTCGAACAGCACCCACCGCGACGCAGCCTTCACGAGACCGTTCTCTATGTACGCATGCATTCAATTCGGAGATATTTACTAATGTACAATCGAGGCATACCCGCTCGTCCTTCTCTTGATACCTTTCGTGGCCCGTGGCTGTATCTGGGTCCACCTCTTTGACAACCGTGAGTGTAGAGAAAGCCATACAGTATACATCTTCGTATGTACGCTAGATGAAGATGATGGTACTGTAGTGTCTTGACGGCATCGTCTCATCAAGCACATTTCAACCAAAACCCCCGGTCCAAAGCTGGTCGCAACAATGTTCTCTCTGCCTTCTCCCATTCGGCGAAGTTTGTCCAACACGATGAGCACAGTCGGGCTGGATGAGTTCCCATAGTTATGGTACACGTCGAGTGAGGCTCGGATGTGGTCGTCGTTGAGTTGCAGAGCTTGCTTGGCCCCCTGCAGAATGGTTGCACCGCCAGGATGGATAGCCCAATCGAAGTTCGAAGCAGGACTGCGAGTCTCCGATGCAGCGGCATGAGTAGTATTGAGGGTGGTACGCAGTCGATCGAACAGGGGCAAGATGGCGTCGATGGCTGTGCCTGGAACGTGTTTGCTGATAGTAGCTATCATGCCTGCTAATATATTAACATCAACTCAAAGCAACAGAAACACAACACTGGACGTTACATGAACATACCATGCTTCTCGATATCGTACGAGATGTAGCTCGAAGTACCCGGCACAACTACACTGTCCCAATCTTCCAGCTCGAACACTGGCTTTTGCTTGTCTTCCAGCGCAAGACCGTTGCATACTGCTAGCGCCGCTGCGCCGTCGGAGAATAGCGCTGGGGCTACGTGTAGCTTGTCGTCTTCACAGGACGCTTGAACCTCTGCCTGAATAGAGAGACTGCATAGCTCACACGCCATCACCAAGACGCGGGCGGGTCGTCCTCTTTGTGATGCGGCAGCGGCGATGCTAGCAGCTGCCCGAAGCGCCGATAGACCACCTGCACACCCCACGCCATGAAGTAGCACTCGTTGCACGTTTGGACCAAGTCCAAGCTCCTGGCATACAAAGAGGTCATAGCCGGGGTTGCTCTGATCAGTGCAAGTCACTGCTACCGTGTGCGTTATATCGCTGGGCTCAAGGCAAGCTTCTCGCATAGCCTCTTTGCACGCAGAGGTAGCAAGCTTTACACCTTCTGTCCGGAATATGCGGGAGATGGAGTCGGCATCCGATGGCGCAGCGTTGTCTTTCGTCCATCCTGCATAGTCGAGGGTAGTTGGGCGGGAGAGGATCTTGGTTTTCTTGTTGAACTGGATGAGCTTCTGGATACTGGTGAGGCTATTAGCATTGGACCAGAATCTTCCATGAAAGACACTGGATGACTGACGCTGGTGAAGTTATCTCGTCAGGGCACAAGCGCTCCAAGACGTCTTCAAATTGCTCCTGTCTTACCGAATGGGGTGGGTACTCATGGCCCAGGCCAATGATGTATATAGCATTGGTTTTGCTACTGCGTGACATACCGTTCACTGAAGACATCTCCCCTTTCGATCAAAACCGACTGCGACACGGAGGGCGTAAGCTTATCACTCTCTACCCCCCTTACACCCGTCCCGTCACCAAATAGCAGATGCGCTCTTCGCACCTACACCCATTCGCGATGTGTAGTCCAGACTCCGCCACTCTTGACTCACCCGTAGCCCGGAGTGCTCAATACATCCATACGAAGACTTGGTCTACCATGGCCTAGCTGAACAACCTTGTGATTTACGGGCTGGAAAGGTCTTCACCGGCCAGTGAGCACTACTTTTGCCTTTAGCGATGTGGAAATAGCCTACCGCTAGCGAGTAAGACATGAGATGGGTGTGATTTCGCTAGATCTGCTGCAGCCTCAGCACACCCGCGAAGACTTGGTATGCCACCAACAAGTTCCACTCGCCAACGAAATGCGGCCTATTCGGAGTCTTCGAGCATTGTGGCAGCACAAAACCGGCTTGTATGCCGTCAATAGCACGCCGCTGACGGGGCGATAATGGTGAAGCCTTAGTGTTCGCGTTCCTAAATTCTGTGCTCTCGCGAAGAAATGCCTCATTAGGCATTCAGAAAGGACTTTTCGACACCTAAATGTTAAGATTGTCGAAGATCGTTTTGCTCCTTCTTTGTTCGATTATCACGCCGTGATCCTGCCGCTGCGTTCGGACATTTTCTTTGTCGAAATATCCCCCCCTTGGTCACGCAGCTATGACCAATCATGAAAATGGAAATAAGAAATTATACATAATTTCTCAGGCCTTCATAGGGGGCCTCAGAGATCATTGAGAAACTCCGGTGAATCTTCTGAGCTTCTCATACGTGAACGGAAGCGGGAGAAAGAGGTGCACTAGGCGCTGGCGCTTGCCACAGTCGCTAGCCGACCTTTGAGTCGACGATATGTGTATCTCGCCGACCTCCATGGCCTCCAGGCCGCGTTGGCGCCTTGATCATCTACCAATAGGTTGTTGTGATAACGAAGACCGTCGAAGATGGGCTACCGGTTGAGTCCGCACAATACTAGCCTGAAATCTCTCGATCCAAGCGAGCGCCACAAGACTGCCTGACCGGGGCATGCGAAGTGAGGACCTATCGAGCCAGCTAATGTCTCGCGATCTATTGTGAATTTTACCACCGGGAGGGGGGGCGAGTACGCCAACGGGATATGGAGGACGAGGACACCCCAGATCTGACGATTGACTTTGGGTCAGTGCCAAGAGATAATGCGACGACAGAGGTGGTTCGACTACATATGAAGCTAGTGCGTGCCGCGTTCGCCCGCCTTGCTTCTAGCAGCTGAAGATTCGTCATTTCTAGGGGCGGTAAGCGTAGTCAGCGTGTACGATCTAGCACCCGTTGGACTGTACAGCCTCTCCACTATCAACAACATCGCCAAGAAGTCGTGTCACTACCGTCACACGGGGTAGAGGGCGGAGTTCACTGTCCGGGTGTGCTCTAGTACTTTTCCGGCGCGGAGATGATCTCCTTGAACGTCCAGAGACGTGTAGTCGAGGTCATGGATTAGGATGGGGCCGCAGGATAATTTGAGTTGCAGAAGGATTCGTGCTATAAGCGAAGAGGACGTTCCCGAGGGGGTGTGGGTGTGGAGGACACGATACCCGGTTCGATGTCGAGATAAAGGTGTGGATGAATCCCGGTAAGAACGTGGCACGGTCCCCATTTGTAGTGGCAGATCTTCATCGCGGTTACTTCTGATGTTCTGAGGGACGTTGGTGGAGAAAAGTCGTGACGTGCAGTGTGAGGACATCTACTCCTGACCAATCGATGGCGAATATGATGAGAAATGGGTTTAGAGGGGTCGCGTTTATCTTCGCGATCGACTGGCGACAAATAGGGTGCGGCTTACGGTGTGAGCGGATTGCGATTCAGGGCGTATGTAAGCGCCGTCTTACTTGGATGTGGCACAGCAAACGCATGTCAGATGCCATCAAACGTCGCCGACGGCTAACCTCGACAGAATTGGGGTCCTCGATCAACTGTAATTGTGTGCCATCATCGTGCTTCCCGTTATTGTTGAGCTTGCTGTGCCGCATGCGGGGGTTCTGCCAATCCGCGGTCCGAACCGTAGTGGGTGTACTAAAGTCGTCGGATGGTTCGCATCTGGTGTATTGAGCTCTTTCCCGGGAAATGTGTTGGGTCCATCAACGGGTGGAACGCACAAGGACTTCCGGTGTCCATGGATAGGTACCTAAAGAGTGGGGCGTAAGCACGTGACCATAATCACCTTCACACCAATGCACACTTCAGCTCGGCGAAAGCGGCGAAGAGGGGCCAAAGGGATGTGCGTGTGATCCAATGGAGAGGGCTGGGTTGTGTGTCAGATGCTTACAATGTGCAACTAATGTTAGAGGGTCTCGCACAAAGCAGGAGCCCTTGCGAAGATGTCGCTGAAACCTACATGCGTCCGGCGAGCTCGGTGTTTAAGGCGGTCAGTTAGGCCTCAACTCGGGTCATTTCATATCGGCGACTGCGGCGTTGCTTTCGGGCTTATGCTGCCAGACGTTGCGTCTTTGAAGTGATTGCTGCTGTTTTCGCTTCCCACAGGATCCGTGCCATGCGCAATGCTTTCCTAATCCGGATTACTTCGCGTGGCGGCCAGACTAGTGTAGGATGTACCGCGAAAGCACTCGCGAAAAGCATCGTTGCCAGTTAGCACTCACGTGGTTACCTGTGTGCATTTGCGAAGTGGGTTCGAGTTTTGAGCGAGACACCGCTGCTTTGGAGTATATATCCTGGGAACTAGCATGCCATCAAAACATACTTTCCGATAGCGCTGTCGATCACAAAGAGAAACATGATGGTTATGGACAGATTCGACGACGTCTCATACGGGTTTGAGATGATGCGACAGCAGAATTTTGGATGGAACAGCGAAGTCCTTGTGGAGCAACTTAAGAAGCAGTGAGTGACGAATGCGACTACGACCCGGTCAGGACTAATTTGCCAGAAACGACAGCCAAAAACCTCGCACACCTCGAGTCGAAGAGTTGGCTTCAGACATCTATACACGTCTACCACGTGAGCTCCGCAACCGGGTGTATACGTTTTGCGTCCAGGGATCCTATGACAATGAAGTCATCGTCCGGCGCACAGCAACCGGAAATGGCCGACGCTTCGCGCACCTCATCCGACAGGCCTGCGGCCAGCATTCCTACCAGTGGATCGAAGACCCCACCGCAGCCTACATGAGCGCAGGAGGTCTGGGTAGTGAGGTTGCTAGAGAATTGCTCGAATGCTACTACTGGACACGTACATTCAAGTTTGCCCATCACGATCTCTTTCTGCTCAACCCGTTTCTTGAAACGGATGGTTTCGGGCTGGGAATGGTTCCAGCGCATTACGCGAGACGCTTGCACATACAGATTCGACCGCTTGACTTTGCGTTTCTGTTGCCGGAGAAGCGGCTGTTTGAAGAGCGGCGGTATTGCAAAACCATTGAGGGCCTCACTGTCATCAAGACCGCTCGAACTGAGGTTGTAATCGAAGTCGATTTAGCGCAAGGGTCTCTGGGAGATGGTGATTACGAGCGCTTCTCCTACGAAGCTGCGCAGTTCATGCTGAAGATAGGAAGTGTGGTAGAGACTCTCAGAGGGACGGGACTGCGCATACATCTAGCGACCATGTGACCTCGAATTCCAAAGGTCATCCGCAAATTTTTGATTTTATGAAGCATATACTTTACATTAGCGTAGGAGTCAATGGATGAATCAGAACGCTTGTGCCTATAGGTGGTGCAGCTGTCTTTTGTATGCTCCTTCTGATATGATCGGTATAATTTTGACCTCTGCAAGAAGTTTTGGTGGCGTGGCCAGGCGTAATTAGGCTTGCCGTGTTTCGTCTCTTATTGCTGCCATGCGATCCGTGGCTAGGCGATGTCTTCCGGCCCGCACAAAGGCCGAGGAAGTGGTCCCCGAGCGACACCATCAGTGAACGTCTTTAATTGGATGCTTTTGTGAGCTTCAAGGGATGATAAAGTGAGATGGAAAGCTGGTGTTGGTGAAAGAAGCTTGATGGAAGCTGCGTTGACGTGGGCGGAAGAATACATACGCTAGCTAGCGACAGGGGCCAAAGAATCGCGACTCCTCTCCACCAGCGCAGCTTGGCTCAAGCCACGATGCAACGCCGTGACGATCAGCCAATCCCAGCATCTCAACTATAAAGCCTAGACTGATCATTTCCATCTCGCGGAAGGGATTGCGCGACAAATGCACGTTTCACGCGTTGTACGTAATTGTCAACTGCTATCGCAATGCCTCCATTATTCGTTTACACTAGAAGCTCCAGATAACTCCCAGCATCTATAGACCATATATGCTGTCTTTGTCGAAGAACACAAGTACTGCTTCACTACCCCTCACGTTCACTACAGCATCTGTCCCAACCGCTTCAACCACCACGTTGCCCATCGGCTCACCCTGAGGAAACGACTGTCCAGCCCAAGATGTCAAGTAGCTATTCCCAGTGTTCACGAATGGTGCTGTCAATCTCTTTACACCTAAGCATCCGCCGTCGGAACCCGCAGCGCTCGATAGATCAACGTGTACCGAGAAGTCATCCGTCGAGTTGGCGTAGAAAGGCTTCATATTGACGAGTGCTAGCTTGGACAGGTGATCGTCGACGTAGAACGCATATGCAGAGAACGACTCTGGATCGACGCCAGCAGGTGGCTCGAGAGCGCGAACCCGAGTGTCGGGCACAGCAAAGGCCTCAGCCATGAACAGCTGCGCGAGGAAAGAGGGCAGAGTCCGTGCCGGGCCTCTCAACTCGGTGTCGCGAGGGTATAGCATTGAGTAAGTGCTGAAACCTGGACTACCGTTTGCACCAGGCGTGTTGAGCTGTTCGTCGGACTGAAGAGCAAGTGTAGCACCCTGGTGTAGATGCGTGGAACTGGCATTCCTTGTCGCGTAGATTAGCTCGCTATCAATGACCCAGAGGGCTTGCGCAAATGTATCGGTGACGTTTGGTGCTCCAGAGCAAGAGACGGAGTTAAACTCGCCAATATTCCAGTTATTTCCAGCATCGAGAGCAGCGCGGGCAGACGGGTAGATTTCTTCATCGCAGTAGCGTGTGAGCTCGGTATGATTGAGGATGTTCTCGATGGTGGCCAAGGCGGCGCGTTCTGGATCGCAGGTTGAGAAGGCATACGAATGTATTGAATATATGCCAACCTGATCTTCTGAGTCGATGCCTGCAGGGATGAGTGCTGCAGGTCGAACCTCCAGGCCTGAGTCATCAGTCGTGGCGGAAGATGCCCACCAGCGCTCTTGAGGAAGATCTGAACTGTTCAAAGCATCCAGCGCAGTATCGATACTAGCTGTGTATTGTTTCCATTGCTGCACATAGGCTGCAGTCGAATCGTTCCACCGGCTCTCGTCATAGTTGGTCGGCTCGTTACCAAGCTCAAGGTACGCGACCTTGTCGGATTGATAGGTAAGCGATGCGACTGCAAGGCCTGTAGAGATTTCCAAACTCTCATTGCCGAAATTGAGAGTGGAGATGAACCTGGTGCCATTGGGGAAATTACTCCAACTCTTGTAGTAATCGGGTCCAACTGTGGTCCGCCATACGCCGCCTTCCGGACTAGTGGTACGCACCACGTCGCCACCGTCAGCGTCGAATATCATGCTGTCCATGGTGATGCCGCCAGGTCGTATGACAGGACTTCCACCGTGCTCATGGATCCTGTTCAAGACACTGAAAGTAAGGTTGTTGGGAGTACTGGCATTGCCGAAGAATTCAACCCAGAAGGCAGGTTCAAACGAGAATGAGGCAAAGGAGTTGCTATGTGGTATCGAAGCACCTTCTGCTGTCTTTGGTACGCTTAGACATGCGGCTCCGGAATAGTCTGTCGTTGGGTATGCGTAGACAGCAGAGGCTGCAAGGGAAATGGCGGCGACTCTGAGTGAGGCCATTATGGGAGTATTGAGATCGTTGGTGGTTTATGGAAGGAGGTGTCCATATTCCCACGGCCATCCGAGCTTCATATGCCATCGGAAGCTATGACAGAGAGCGTATCGACATCATCGTGCCTCTCTTTCTAGGCTAAAGCGGACGCGATTATTCCGACGGCCGCGAGATGTTCCATTGAGTTGTCGGAAAGGTTGCTGGAATGGTCCTAGAAGATGTGGGGAGGCTGCGGGGAATTGGCGGATCGCCGGGCTCGCTCCGTAGCGGGGGCAAAAGTCGGGTTTAGCATGAAAGGGCTAAAACCATAGTAGTAATCACCCGCTCATAGACCTGCGATACATCCTGATAGAGAACGAGTTCGCTGGTGCACAGGGACCTTCTGTCCGGTTTTCTAATCTGCCATTATTCAACCATGTTATCAGCTTGACATTATGAGTAGAAACACCAGGCAGCGCAGCATGGTAGACAGAGTCGAGAAGCGCGGTTCTTGCTGTATCCATAGAACAGAAATGAAAAGCCGTGGATTGGTAACGGATATCGGTCAGCTCGGATTAGTACTATTTCGTACCTACGGCACCGTGCGGCACACCCGTCCTTCTCCGCATCATGACCTCACCCATAGCATTCCTCACCTCCTTCTCCTGATGCACCACATTTTGAACCATGTACTTCTTGAGTGCTTCCCTCAGCTCACCCTTTGCCCTCTCGTTGTCCCTGTATGGCACGCTTTCCAGCTCCAACAGTCTGTTCGCATCCTTATTACTCTCCGCAACAAGCGCGCCGAGTCGATCAAGCTGCTTGTGGCGAGTATCTTCGGTATCGTCGTTGGCTTTTGCGGCATGTTGAGGGTCACTTCGGTAAAGTGGCATGAGCAGACCGAGAAACTGCGTAAGGGATATCGCAGCTTTCTTCAATATGGTGATGATTTGAAAGGGTAGGTAAGGAGGACGGAGGTTGGTTCTCGCGACAAACGGGTTCAGGTATTTCGAGAGGAAGGTGGGGTAATCTGGACGAAGAGCGGTACGGATTTCGAAAGTCGCAACAGCGAGAAGTCCTAGGTAGCGCCAGTAGGACCCGTCTGTCAGGAAGCCGAGGGCGTTTGCGCCAACCAGAATGATGAAGAGTACGCCGTAGGTGGTAGCGGTAGTGAGCAGCGCACTGTCTGTGTAGTCCTTGATAGTCAAGCAACTCTGGCACTGCGCAAAGATGCTTGGCCCGAAGCGGTCATATGCGAATCGCTTCACAGGATCCATTATGATGTCTTTGGCTCGCTTCAGATGGACATAGAAGTCATTTGCCCTCTCTCTATCCACGTTCGGCCCAATCTTATCTGGGTGGTATCGAATCGTCAGCCTCCTGAATCGCGTGTTCAGTGCGCTCTCGTCGACGTCTAGTGGTACACCAAGGTCGTTGTATGCATTGCTAGAGCGCTGCAAGTTGAAGTCGACTTCGTAAATGGTGAAGGCGAAGTAAGCGGCGTAGATGGCGATCAAGATGTTGCGGCGGTGCTTTATGAAGCGCGGAGTGCCGGGCTGCGGTTTCGGGTCGCCAGCGCGAATGAAGATGCTGTAGAGAATGGACTGGGCCCATCCCGCTGCCTGTGTCGCGTTAGATATTGCCGTGCCGCAGGTGTGAGGGCTAGCTTACGACAGGAATGAGAAACTGCCACACTAGGAAAGGACCCAGAGTGTCAAATGACACGTTCGATATCGCCATAGTGCTCGGTCACTGGTGTGGGAACATGAGGACGCAAGGTCGAAGTATCGAAGAGTGGAATGGAAGCCAAGTGTCATCGAGGCGCGCGTTCGGAACGTTCCGAGCACTACCGAGGCACGTGCGTTCGCCGCAGCACCTTGAAGTCCCGACAGAACTACATGGTCTTATGAGGTGTGCCACACATACACAACAATTGTTTTGGTAGGATACATCTGACTTTGCGGAAATGTTGAATTATTGGGTGACGTGTATTGATTGATACAAAAGGCCTGACAACATTCAAGCACCATAGATAAGATTGCTCCCGTGTCATGACGGGACACCTTCAACACTAGCCAAGAAAAGATTGCGCCTTCGACTTGAGACAGAGGTCTGTATTTGCTTGTTACTGTTAGTGGAGTCACACTTTGGTATCCACAATGGTTGTGATACTTAGCTAGGTAGATAACCTTGGAACTGTCCAAGGTTGAGTTCAGCGATTTCACTCCCGAGGTCACCCACAGTCAGCCACAACACACAAATACACACAAGCATCGTGGACACCTCTTCACCCAGCGACAGACACCATACACGACCCGTGAATACTTAGCAGAATGACCACTGCCAGCGATATCGATAAGGCCTTCACTAAGGCGGTGAATGAAGCAGGCGGTTTCTACAACAAGGACCGCCTGGACAAATGTATCGAGTTGGCCCGCGCCCTTCTCGCTGATAACTCTACAACACGACACCATCGTATGAAAGCGCTCATGTTATTGGCTTCAACACTGGACGACTGGGAAGACGCGAACAACTGTCACGTGGAGGCGGAGACCCTGTGGCGTGTACATAGGCGTCGGCATCCAGAGGGCGAGAACGCTGCGCTCGACATGTACATGGACGAGCTGCGCGAATTCTTAGACGAAGTGGGTGTCGAGTTGGAGCGGACTAAGTCTGGAGACTACGACCCGGAAAATGACGTGGATGACAACATCGCGGCGCATGAGGTAAGCTCTAGCTATATGGAGTGCATGTGAGACATATGCTGACTTCGTACCTCTACTTCTGCAGGAGCATGTGAAGGATGCGACCGACGCCATGGAGACCCTTCAAATGACCGACAATGAGATGGAAGATTAACCGCTTGTCGGTGTTCCCGCTACCGAGGTTGCTGCGCTTACCGATGATGTTTCCGCTATCAAGATTGCTGCGCCTGCCGAAGGTGGAGGTGAGACTGCAGATGGTGCTGACCCTCAGGCTCCTCAAGGCCAAGGAGAAAAGATGTACCCCGACCTTGGTTGAATATCTACTCCCCTGCTTGCTATACTGCAGTCTCGAGATCTGGCCCTGCGCATCGATGCTGGTCTTGCAAACGCCCAATCGTGGTCGTCGGCCTCACCTGCGCTCAGTGCGAACACGCCAGCATGGCAGCCGACTGGTACTTGTAAGCTTTCCTCCTCAAGCCCGCCTGCATCTAGGTAGGAGACATTGTACTAACGGTGCATCAGAGCGTGCGCGTTCAAGGGTGGAGGAGACACAATGTAGTGAGAAAAGTCATAGATTTCTATGGTTGATGACATCTGTCGATCAATGGTATAAAGCGATGCTATGCAATTAGAAACAAAACGAAACTCGCGCATTCCTTAGGACATGCGACGTAGCAAATTCCTCCATGCATCTCAAGCCTAGATGGGTGACGTTTGTGCGTCGGGTATAGTTCCTCCAGGCATTATGCATAACAAGTAACGACTCAACGATACCGTAGCGCACACAGCGCGCTCATTCGCAATCATGTACGACCAGCGCTCGTATCTTCGTCTTGCAACATTTCAGATCTTACATCTGACCTCCGGCCTGAGGCATCAGCTCCTCGTCTTGCTGACGCTTCTCCTTGAGCGATCCAGCAGCCGAGCGGTTCTCGACGTCGCTGTCGGAGAGGTCGTACTGGCGAACGGCTTCGGCGATCTGAGCCTCGTCCATCTTGGGGAGCTGCTTGGCGGCTTGCACGTAGCTCATCTTCTCGGTGTAACCCTTGGCGAAGATAAGGTCAATTTCCTCGAGGGAACGACCAGCAGTCTCAGGGTAGAGGAAGTAGATGACGGGGATGAAGGAGGCGTTCAGAGCGGCGAAGAGCAGGTAGGTTCCCCAACCGATGTTGGTGATCAAAACGGGGGTGATCATGACGATGAAAAAGTTCCAGAGCCCTATTAGGATATTAGTAATGGTCTCGCATGAATATTGGACAGAAAAAACTTAAAGTTGTTAATCGTAGAAAAGGCGTTAGCCTTCTGGCGTGTCTTGAGAGGGTTGATCTCAGCTGGGTACAACCAGGGAAGTGGGAGCCACGTGACACCGAAGAAGGCGATGTACAAGAACAGACCGACGGCGGCACCCTTGGCAGGTCCCTCGTTGTCCTCGTTTTCCACGCCACCGGGGAGCAGGCAGGCAAAGGTGATGATCATGGCAGTCATCTGACCGACGGTACCGATGAGGTACAACTTTCTGCGGCCGACACGCTCAACGAAGTAGAAAGAGGTAGCGGCGAACATGGCGTAAACAACCATGTTGACACCTCCGAGAAGAAGGGCGAGGTTGTGGTCGGTGTTCAAGGCGCTCTGGCACAGAATGGGGAAGTAGTAGATGACAGCGTTGCAACCGGACAATTGTTGCATGAATTGCGAAGAAGCACCGAGGATAGCACGACGGAAGTGCTGGGACTTGCCACCGGTAAGGAGAGCCTTAGTAGGGACCTTGCCACCACCACCAGATGCGCTGACTGCATCACGAATGACTTGCATCTGGACAATGACCTCTTGGTCGTCGCGGGCAACACCGTTGAGACCAGCCAGTACAGTAGCGGCTTCGTCTTCGTGATGGTGGTTGAGAAGCCATCGAGGAGATTCGGGTAGCGAAATCATCATAACGATGACGATCATGGCGAAAACACACTGGAAAGCAATGGGGAATCTCCAGGTGAAGTCATCGGGACCGTAGAGACAGCCGTAGTCGATCCAGTAGGCGATGAGCGTACCAATGGCAACCATGGAACCCTCGATGCAAATAACTTTACCGCGGTTCTTGGCCTTGCAGCACCTGGAAATAGTCAGTAGTTGTTTGAAAGAGCAGGTTTTGGGTCGACATACTCAGCCTGGTAGGTAGGAATGGTAGAAGTGTTGATACCGTTTCCGACACCAGTAATGCATCGTCCGACAATAAACTGGGCGGTAGCACCGCTGTTGGGAGGAACGCAGGCAATCTGAATGATGACACCGATGATCATAACTCCGGCACCCAGGAAGATACTCTTGCGGCGTCCAAGCTTGTCACCAAAGACGAAGACGAAGATGGCACCAAGCAGACAACCGACGGCATAGATGGAGACGACGAAACCCTCGTAGGTAGAGTCATCTATGACTTCAGGGAACGCGGCTTGGAAAGCGGGAGCGGAGATGATTCCACTCATGACACCCTGGTCATAACCGAAGAGTAGGAAGTCGGTAACAGCAACGATGGTGATGAGAACCTGGAGGGCCCTGCCGGACTTGCCCCAGTAGGTGGGAACACCATTTTCGGACTCCTTGATACGTGGCGGCATGGTTGCGTTGTATCGATGGAAACTGGAGAGGAGTGAGGAGATGCTGGGGAGGAAAGATCCATGGGGAGAGAGTAGAGCTTTAAATGATCATCGTCCGTTGCGTACAAGGGTGTTCGGCAGAAACGTGGTTACTGGTCGTCTACCCTCGGCCCACTAAAAGATACGCTACCAAGATTCCGACTGACGCGTGGAGAAAACTAGATAACGATTTTTTTCCAACATCTTGGCCTTGGCTGGTGTAGCAGTATGCGAGCCTGAGGTGCGGGCGGTAGAGGCGCAAATAAACTGTGGATACAAAGGCGAACCTAACAGGGTCTGTTGGTGGAGCAAGCCATCTTGGGCCAATCTTGGAGAAGAGCGGAGGACGCTTGCAGTCCAACAAGCGCGCTCGGCACAGCATGTCTCTGCTCCTAGCCCGAGGTTACCTCCACATTACGTCATGTGCGCAGGGCTTGGGGTCAGCCTGGGGAAGACGCAGGTGAAACGATTGGTGAACGATGGGTTCGCCAGTCAGCACAGAAGGCTGGACGAAGTTTCTTCGCCGCCTACGCCACCCGCAACCGCCTGTCAAAATCTACGGTACGCATGTCAAGATGATGCAGGAACTTCGTCGTCGACTAGGACACCGGTGTAGGTCGTAGGCACCATCTCGGGCTACATGCCGCCGTGTACGGATAGCGTGCTAATTCCTCCCATAAGGCACGGTTTCAGTCTCAACAAGAGGGCGCTTGACGTCATGCACCGGCGACTCGCGTCCGTCCCCATGCAGGGTCTGACCAACCGTGCGCATGCGGCTCTGCAGCCTTTGCAGCTTGGCCGATGATCTTAACTAATAGAGACTGCAGTTGGTGGAGCTTGAACACGCCATGTGCTGCAACGGTGACGATGGTTGCTGTGATGGTCGATGGTCGGCTGTACTTCCTGGGATGGAGTGCAGCAACGTCGGGCGGCACTGCCGGCCGGGAGACGATTCGACGCACGTGATAGCGGCATCTCTCGAGACATTCAGATTAAGTTGCTATGCAGCCGAGGATTTGCCCAGGCTTTCGGGAGCGCACTTGGTTTGCTGACACTCCTCCTACATATTCTCGCCGTGCGGTCGATCAGCTTGGTCGCGCCGTGGATGCTGCTCGGTAGGCGCGGTCGCGCTTTCTGCCATGGCGGGACAAATTGCCAATGCATGCTTGGTAGTCGGGAGAGGCTCGTGTGGAGTTCACAAGCCTAGCGTGGGGATGAGGCTGACATGTGCATTTTCTTGCAGATCTCGGGCCTTCCTGTTTCGGGACATCCGGGCGCATTTCACTGACCCAGCTCCTTTCTCGTCACGCAGGCGGGAGTAAACAGCGGCAGCAACACCACCGAAAGCAGTCCTCGCAGCCTACGAAAGTGCTTCATACCGACAAGTCTACCCCAGGACCCAGCTAAACTGCGCCGATCTCTCCAGTACCCCATCAATCCGCCCCAAATTATGCTCCCGCAAGCATTCCGCATGCCGGAAAAGACGGCTCTCATATCGTGTGCTAAAACACACCAAACGCCCCAACGACGTGGTAACTCCACATATAACAGCCAACCCCAATTTTATGTCGCTTTCGGGGCCTACTACACCGCACTCTCGCTCAAGTCCCTGCCAAGCGGCACACACTCCAGTCTGTCACCGGGACCGCCGTCTAATGTCGGGGTCTCCGCTTTATGCAAATGCCGTATTGATAATCACACTGATAATCACACTCCACTTTTCTATCACTCCCTCCAACGCAGGGTCGTTCCAAAATCCGCCAATTACTGTTGAATATGCATCATCGTCGTGACGGACCTCCACCGAGTTGCTGTTTTGATCCCACTTGGTTACCATCGTCGACCCCATTGCCAGGACTCTGGGACTGGGGAAAACGGCGGAGATCAAATTCAAGAACGTTTTGCTACGATCCCTAGCTCTTGCGTCTCGGTTCGATGCGAAGGTCATGTTGACAGATCCACTGTATTTCAGCCGCATAAAGGCGTCCTACTGCCCCGACTGATTCGACCTCCGACTTGCCATCGGAGCGACCTAGTCAACCCGATCCCAAGACCTAACCTCCGTACCAAGGATGCTGCCAATGTCCGATAAATCCATCCGATGTCCCAAGATAGTGTGGGGATCCCACCATCTCCAGGATCTACTCCTCCTCAACAGTCATGTGTCCCACCATCGCTAAAGTCACCAGGTCCCTCGTGCATTGCCCAGATGGTCGCCAATGCTAGTCGCAGAACAGCGGGCCCATGGACGGACTAGAGTTGGGTCCGGGGGCCTTTCATCTCTGAAGTCGGTCGTCAGTCGTTTCCCCGTCTATTGAACCGAGGCGGCTCCTCGGTGTAGCTGTCGCGTCTCTTCTTACCCCTAGAAGAACACCCTCCTGGGTCTAAGGATTTCCAAAGTTGCTCGCATTTCCCATCTGCTTCATTCTACCTGCGAAGTCCTCTCTTCCTTGACTTCACGCCAGGCCGCTTCCTTTGTTATCGAGATTGCACGGTAGGAGCATGTTCGAGCTCTTTGCTTTTCCAGTGCGATAACGGTTACTTCTGGTATCATTAATTTCCGTCCTGCTGTTTGTGTTTTCGTACTGTGCCAGCTGGAACTTGCGAGGAAATGACCCGTATCACTCTCATCACGGGCGGGCGGTATCTCCGAGGATTTTGAGTGTAGCGGCATGTCATTTAGCACCATTCGCGTGGACCACGCATGAGGCTCATCCAGACGTGACCTCGGGCGAGCTGTCAGAAGTGTGACACTGTTGTGATGGCCGACCGCAATTACCAGCGACGCACAGTCCAGTAGATTAGATTAATATGACCACCGCCACAGGTGTTCATCACATACTGCTACCGTATTGATGGAAATAGTTTCAGAGGTGGAGTTGGCAAGCTCGCCGCTCGATGAGGCATGCGCGCACGGATCACGTCATGTGTTAGCGTGTCTTTCGACGCGTCGCGGCACGTAAGCACTCCACTCCCACGACCTCAACACCGCAACTGGCATATTTCATCTCACGCGTGGAAGATCCACAGCAATAGCCCTCTGAAGGCTTCGGTCGCACATCATTTCGATTCACCCGGGAGATCCTCGTCCGTAATTACGCAGCTCCATTGGGCGACTAGACACAATCGCTCTGCGTACCCTGGGTTTGACCGCTACCCAACGATACTATCTCGGCTTAGTAAACATCATTTGTTCTCATCACCATGGCGCGCAGAATTTCCCCAGAAGAGTACCAGGCGATTGGGCGCAGCTACTACAAGCTGAAACAATACGAGAAAGCCTTGGAAACCTTTTCGAAAGGTATCGAGGCTTGTCCAACCGCGGATCTGTACGATCATCGGGCTGCGACGTACGACAAGCTTGGAAACCTCAATGCTGCCGTCAAAGATGGCAGAGAAATGATCAGACTGAACAAGAAAGATGTCAAAGGCTACTTACGCACGGCGAGCATTCTGGAGAAGTTGGAGAAACCCGAGACAGCGCTTGGAATTTACAAGTATGGAATGAAGAATGTGCCACCTAGCGACAAGAACTTCAAGGTATGTGATGTATTATTTGTCCTGTTATGGGGACACATCTTCCACTCTGTCTTTTGCATGGATTACTGACTGGCGACAGCTTTTGCAACAACTCCACGACAAGTCCACTCGAAAACTATCACCTGCATCGGCCATCGATCCGTTTACAGTGCTGCCTGCTGAGCTAGCGGAAATGGTACTAGAGTATTGCTCCTTCCGCCACATGGTCAACTGCATGCGCGTCAGCAAGGGATGGAGGGACTATCTCTCCAAGTTACCTAAGCTTTGGATGCATCTCGATCTTTCTGGCGCCCGCAGACCAGTCCCTCGTTCTTTCGTCAATACAGCCTTCAAGCGTTCGGAATACCGAATGACGCGCGTCACGATCCATCGCTTCGAACACATGGACGTACTGAAGAATCTTGCGAAAGCAGCGAAGGACCTTGCAGAACTAGAGCTCATCTCTTTGCCACACACCATGTCAGCCACATTGATTGACATTGTCAAGAGTGCTCCAAAGCTGAAGAAGTTCACGATACATGCAGAGATCACGCAAGATACGGCAGTGCAGATAATGCATGCGAGGCCTGTACTGGAACACGTGGTCTTCGGCGCCTTGAGGTCCGCCGGAGCCGCCACTAACTGGACAACTTCATTTGGGAATCTCCGCACACTCGGCATGCATTGGTCGTCCCCCGTGTCGACGGTCAATCTCAGGCTACACGAGCTCCTGGCTCGAACGCCATTCCTTGAATCCTTAGCACTCTCCAACGTAGAACATTTTGACTCTCCACAAGGATGGCCCCTAGACAAAGCTCAATTACCACCACTGAAAAGCCTGGTGTTGAAGCGGATGAACCTCCTGAAGTTGCCTCTTCTCCCGCCCACGCTACAGCGACTGGTCATCGAAAACGACAGTGGTGCATTGAACCTACAGCAAGTCCTGCCCTTGAACCAGTGCTGTGTCCCAGAGCTCACACACCTAGCCATATCTGGTTTCAAAGGCCTGGACCCCAAAACACTAAGACACCTACTAGATGTCTGTTTCCACGAAAGTGAAACGGCGACATGCTTAACACGAAAACCTTTGCAGTCGTTAACCCTGCACGGCCTAATGGATAGTGTTAGAGATGACATGTTCGGGCGCGGGCCTTCTGCGCAAATGGAGTCCATATTCGGCTGTTCCCCACGGGTCCTCACGCCAGCATTGGAGCACTTGGATATTGCCACAACGCTCTGCAATGACGATGAGATAGAGAGACTCCTCATGTACCCGACGGGACTCAAGACAATCGACCTTTCTCACACCCACATTACTGGGGCGTCCATCAAGATGCTGGCAGACAAACTTCCGAAGCTGACAAGCATCAAGGCGAATCAGTGTGCTAACATTAGTGGGCGCGATGCGATCAACTACGCAGAGCGAAAGGGGATATCAGTGAGCTGCCAGATGGCTGAGCAGAAGGGTGGACGAAGGCTTCGCTACGGATAGTCTGCCATGCGCCTGAAGTTGTCGACAGTCATCCTGCTTTGGAAGACCAAGGCGAGGCTACATCGGCATTCACAGAAAAGATACCAGACAATGATAGCAAAGGGAACCTTTCGTAGCATCTATGTAGCGGTATAATACGGGGTGCAATCATGTAATCGTGAGTGCCATCAAAGGGGACCATTAGCTAAACACCAGCGCCAAAGTCCTTGCGCGCCCACGCCATGCATATATCAAATCCCACCAAACTCCTCCCAATTACCGTTCAAAATACCAACGCCGCGCCAATATGCTTGTGCAGTAGCAGAGCAAGGAGTAGAATCGCAAAAAGGAAAGCTCGACCGCTGAATTAGTTGACATCCATGCCATCATCCTCCACTTCGTCCTCTCCGTCGTCCTCGCCTGCCGTGAGGACGCCTGCGCTACCCAAACTGCGTTTACGGTTGCTGCCACCGAAAGAGCGGCCGGTGATTTGGCTAAGGAGATCCAGATCCTCTCCACCAACGATGCGCGCTTCTGGAGTAGCTTCACAGCTGAGCTCGATCAAGCTCGCCGGGCTGAGGCTACGGTAGCCGGCTGTGCGGACGACTCTACCAAAGTTCTGCATGCAGAATGTAGCAGCTCGCTGCTTGAGCCAGTCCTCTCCAGCAGTAGCAGCACGCTCCCAGATTATGGCTGCGTGCTCAATGTCGAGCTCCCGACCCAGGCGATTGACGCAAAGTAGGCGGAGACGGGGCATGTCGTAGATGTTGGACATGACAAGCATGCCTGCTACGTCGTTCAGGCTGGGTCCATTCTGCGGGTTTGGCGCAATGCTATCAGTATACAGATAAAATAGGAACGCTCGAACTGCTGAGTACGGTTCGGGAATGTGCATCTTCTTCGAGTGGAACTCTGCCATCTGAGCACTCCATAGACGGGCGAAATGGGGCCAGCGCGCATGGAGAATGAGCTTGTGAACGTGGATCGGCCGCGATACTGGACTCACGGTTGTTGAAGAACCATTGGGATCTGGCACGGCAACATCCACGTAGTCATCATCATCGGGATCGGCCGTGATGATAAAGTCTGCGCCGCTGCCGCTCTCGGGTGGTTGATCGAAAGTTAGAGAAAGATCCGCACCAATACCGGTCAGATGTGAAGACACGTTCGCATCGGAAGAAGGCATCATCTTTGAGCGCGCGTCGGAGGCCAGCTCGTTGCCCAGAATACCATACTTCCGAAGATCGATGGCGAGGACATCGCTTAGATACTCGCCGTTGTGATTCCCATCATTCGCCGACTCGATCGGGCTACCTAGAAGCCAGGCATGTGTTCCCTCGGGATTTGTTGTGCAGTAGTGCCAGCGGTAGTTGGGGCTGTAAAGGTCCTTCCCGTCGGCGAGCTTCTGCCACCGTAAAGTGTCTAGCTCCAGACTGGACAAGCTTGTCTCGCAGCTCAACTCTGCCGGGGTGACGAAATCGAGCATGCAACCGGATGAAAAGATGTGGAAATGCGTACCCGCCGCTTGAGATGGTAGGTTCGGACTGGAGTGAAATTTGAGAGATGAGATGGAGCCAGGCGCAACGTAGGGTGAGCGACTTGAACCCATGCCATGATATGACTGAACGCTCGAGTTTGCAGTATAACCGGTGCTTCCGGTCGCGAGTTGACCAGACGCTGGTACAGGGTAGCGATGTCGGGACGAGATGAGTTGCCGGTCGCCTGTTCCATACTTCATGGCGTGGTCGAACTCTGGGCTACCGCGGAGATCGAGCCACCAGATCTCATTGCTCTTCTCCATCTCGTCATTGATACCACCAAAAATCCAGATGCGACCGTTCCAGATCCAGCTGGCGTGATCGTAACGAGGAACGAACCTCCATGTCCGGGACCACGTCCACGTCTTGAGGTCGAGATAGCAAATGTCGTCTAGTACACTATCATGCCCAGTCTGGCCACCGCTGATATATAGCTTATCGTCGTATATGACGGCCGAATGCCGAGCGCGACCGCGAGGTATTGGGCCATGGAGTTCGGGCTGCGTCCAGTGAGCGGTCTTCAAGTCGAACACGATGACGTCGGCGAGATGTTGACGGTGCTCATTCTCACCACCGAAGACGAGCAGTTTGCTGCCCTGCCAGAGACATGCGGTATGTCCTAAAGCGTTATGTTAGTTGCGACGGAAGTAGCATTGCTAATAGAGCGGTGAGCACGTACCCATTCGTACGCCCGGAATGTCTCCGTAGTTGTCGACCAGATTCCATTGTCGAGTGACGAGGTTGAGGCGAAGGACGTGGTTGTAGACCTCATCGGTATACTGGTCGAAGCCTCCAAAGGCGTATATCTGATCATCGCCAACATAAGTGACAGAGGCATTGACCAGGCAGGCGGGCTTGGCGCCGATTGTCGATATCATTTTCGGTTTGTAGCCTTCGACGGCTGATCTGCGGCTCCGGACGGGGCTCGCAGACATGAGGAAAGTGTTGTTGGCGGAGCTGGCGGATCCCGGCGTGTTCGAGTGGGAGTGGCTGGGCGAGGGTGTAGAGGTGACGGCGGGGTTGAGGATGTTGGACGGGAAAGCGGATCGAGCGGATGTTTGTGCCATGAATAGCGAGCGGTGAGTAGCGTGGTCTGGTTTGTGGTAGCAGCCCCGGTGGGCAGAGGTGGCCTTTGTCTAGGCTGGGAGAATGTTTGACGGAGGAAGTTGAGTTGGCTGGCCGTGCATATTGCCGCCCCTCACCGCCCGAGCCTGGAAAGCGGAAGCGCCGACCCACGACGACTCAGCCCTGTGCCCGACACGGACAGCGCGAGCCACTCCGAGACTTGGCCACTGGACAGCTGCAGCAGATTAATGCACCACGGCAGATGCTGGAATATGTGATTAGTGAGTGGCTGTGCGATGTTGATGGACTGAGATACTGCTGAAGTGCGTCGCAGTCTGGCACGAGAGCAGACGCTATAGAGCCATCGCCATCATGGATGCAGCGGTAAAAGCAAGGCCATACAGGCGGCGGCATCGACACGACGACGATGCATGCGGCTTCACAAACCGGATAGCCTACGATGCCGGCGAGGGTCGAGCACCGTCATGTGATGTCATGCGTCCTGGTCGTCCGGCCAGCCTCGCGCAGGGTCCCGTCCTCGTTACCTGGTCAACGCAAGCGTAAACAAAGGATACTTAAACGCCCCCATACCTGCCACTCTACATATCCACTACCACGCACTCTACCATCCGCACTGCCCTGCATCTTCTTCTCCAGAGCGCGAATCACTCAATTACTTTCGAATCAATACTTCACAGCATCGATTACAGCATTGTCTAATACTAATCCTTACACCATATAGCGAAACCGAACCACATACTGTATGCCACCACGTCCGATGTACTAAGAATCCAACTAATACTAGTCCAGTAGGAGACTAGCTAGCAGTCATGGCAAGCACCGCAGTCTGCGTGACTCCGGTCAAGAAGCGCTCTGCCGTCTTCAACACCCGCACCGCCGGCGGTCGGATGCCACTGACGCCCTCCCCCCGCACCCCGCGCACCCAGACTCCCGATGTGCAGGCACACGAGTCGATCCATGGCAACGACTTCAAGTCGCGCATCCAGCGCTCCGTCACCAAGACGACACGCGACTCCCCCAAGTCCAACATTGCTCGCTCCCACACACACACTCCCCGCCGGTTAGAACTCGGTGTCTCAGAATGGGCCCTCACTGGATCCGGTACCACTGCCGCCACCAAGGCCAAGAAGGAGAAGAAGGAGGCAGCTGCCATCCGTGCTCGCCCTACCAAGACGCGCATTGCCTACAATGCCGCCGACCGCTTCATCCCCAACCGGACGGCAAGCGAGGCCATCCGCAGCGTCGGTGCCAGCAAGCTCGACGCTGAACAGCGCCCCAAGTCAAGCTCCAAGAAGGAGGGCTCGACCGTGATTGCCAACGCCGCAAGCGCTTTCGATCTCGGTGGCCGTGGTTCAGAGGAGGATGTCACACTGTCCCTCGAAGGCCTGAGCCTGGAGGACGACGAGGAAGAGAGCCGATCGCGCTCCAAGCCAGCTCCTAGCCAGGCTGCATACCAGTCCACACTTGCCTCAGCATGTGGCATCAACACGAACACTCGCATTCTTGCCTTCAAGCCTGCGCCGCCCGAGTCGTCCAAGCCCATCGACCTTCGCTCCCAGTACAACCGTCCTCTCAAGCCCAGCAGCAGCGTCAACGCACAGAGCCGCCGTCGCATCCCGTCGGCACCCGAGCGCGTCCTTGATGCTCCCGGTCTTGTCGATGACTACTACCTCAACCTTCTCGACTGGTCCTCCGGCAACCAGGTCGCTATCGGTCTTGAGCGCTCAGTCTACGTCTGGTCAGCTGACTCCGGGTCGGTCGCTTCCCTCCTCGAGTGCCCCGCCGATACCTACATCTCTTCCGTCAAGTGGTCCGGCGACGGTGCCTACGTTGGTGTCGGTCTCGGCACGGGTGAGGTCCAGATCTGGGACGTTGAGGAGCAGACCAAGCTGCGTAGCATGTTCGGTCACGAGACTCGCGTTGGTGTTATGGGATGGAACAAGCACATTCTCTCCACCGGTGCCCGTTCCGGCCTTGTCTACAACCACGACGTCCGCGTCGCTCAACACAAGATCGCTGAGCTCGTCTCGCACACTGGAGAGGTCTGCGGTCTTGAGTGGCGCGCCGATGGTGCCCAGCTTGCCACTGGTGCCAACGACAACATGGTTAACATCTGGGATGCGCGCGCGCTCGCTGCCCCCAAGTTCACCAAGACCAACCACCGCGCTGCCGTCAAGGCCGTCTCATGGTGCCCATGGCAATCCAACCTGCTTGCCACCGGCGGTGGTTCCAACGACCGTCAGATCTACTTCTGGAACACCACCACCGGTGCCCGCATCAACCACATCCCCACTGACTCCCAAGTCACCAGCCTTCGCTGGAGCACCCACTACAAGGAGATCGTCAGCACTGGTGGCTTCCCCGACAACAGCCTGAGCATCTGGAGCTACCCCTCCGGTGTCAAGAACATGGAGGTCCCCGCTCACGAGTCTCGTGTTCTCCACAGCTGCCTCAGCCCTGATGGTCAGATGCTCGCCACTGCTGCTGCCGATGAGTCTCTCAAGTTCTGGAAGATCTTCGAGAAGAAGCCCGGTCAGCCTTCCGTTGCCGCCGCCGGCTCTGCTTCCATGAAGCCCAGTGCGACTAAGCAGATGACTATCCGCTAAGTTTCTGCATTCGACAACGAAGGAGCTCGTGTCAGATACATATGGGTTGGAGCATTAAGCTCAAGAAGCATCACAAGTGTCTAGCACGGACATTAACTACCGGCTTGCGCAATGGAGCTGGTATCATTCATCCGACTCTACGCGCAACGGTAAGTTGGTAAGTAATCACATCTCGTATTTGGGTATGTGACGCGATCCTCTCCTTCATTCACAGGAAAAGGAATCTCCACATCTACCCTCGGAACATCTGTCAAGCGTACAACTGGGTCTCATCGTGGCTTTTTTGTCCATTCAGCAAGCGAGGCGTCTCGGAAGCATTGCAAGGCGTTGAAATTAAAGAACTGGCTTTTCGAGCGTCCCATGGACAACGAGGTTCATGATATTTACGAACATTGGGAAAAGACAGGCTCGGTCTATTGTCTTTCGAGGGAGTTTTTGTATTTGTACATTCACCGCGCCTTGATGCGCTTGGGATTGGGACATTTGGGGGCTTGGCAAGGCGTTCGATCTTGAATAAAATGAAAATATTACAACATATAATCGTTTCATGACTTTGCCTTGTCTGGTGACTTCCCATGTCTCTGCAGAATGCGTAGATAATTCCGTTGAATCATCTGATCATCTCAGCGGCCGAACTATTCTTCGATAAGACGAGTCGTATAACTTCACATACCTATCGAGCTCTTCTGCCTCACCTTTCACTCTGGGGTCGAATTGGTACTTCACGTATATAAGCGTTTCCCTACATCTCCATCCCTTGTCAACCCAACGAACAACGATCCAATCCAACCAACATAATGAGCTACGAACATCCACTACCCATGCCAGGCGCATGGCCATCAGACGACACAGACCCCACCTCCCCTCTAACCTTCACCCTCTCCTCCTTCATCTCCGCCGCAAGCACCGCCCAAACCTACATCGAAACCACGCTCCAGCAATCCAAATCCCTAGTCTGGCTCTCCGAAACCATGACAAACATGACGCTGTTCGCCTACGCCGAAGAACTCGTCCAGAAATCGGTGGCGTATGTTACTTACATCGCTCCCCACATCGGGTTCTATTCAGAAGACCAGTTCCCGCCTCCGCTGGCCGATGGGATCATACTGTCTTATACCTTGGTGGAAGTAGGGTTACTTCGGGCGATATTAAGGTATTCGCGGGAGACTGGATTAGATGATGATGCTGTCATGACAATGCAGACTTTTAAAGAAGGCGTGGAGACTTACCGGCTTGCAAAGAGCATCCAGGGCCTAGTTGCATCGTATATTGAGTTTGGCAATGCGAATACGAATGAACCACCGCAGATCTGGGAGACGCCTGAGGTGTATGCCCTTGCTTATGCGGATTCTCTGGCTACGGTTGAGGTCGAGACGGCGATACGAGACGATGTCCGATGTCCGTTTTGTTGGGGTGCTTTTGGTGAGGGGGAGGATGGGTGTAGGGGGATTATCAAACAGTTGGGGTGCTGTGGGAAGCGGTTTGGAAGGGATTGTCTTATTGAGGCTATGTTGGGGAGTCTGCTTTGTCCGAATTGTAGGAGGGAGTTTGCGGTTAGGCGCGTTGAGGATGGAGAGAGTGGTTAATATGCAGGCTGATACAATATGCTTGCGGTGTCTTAAGATACAAGCTTCTCACGACCGCATGTTCATTTCCAGTATCTAATCCACTCATTTTCCAGGTCCGTCATGCTGTCCTGGAGGATGGCCGCTTGCATCGCTTTCTCATTTGCCTTCGCCATCTCCACGTTTGTTATACCCCAATCAATCTGCATAGATGTTAGTCATCATCGTAGCCTCTCACGGCGACATGCCAGCTGATTCAGTACTCACCGGCGGTGCGGTCCAGCCACTGACAGCCCATTGTGTACTTCTGATCCTGGCTTGCGACTGCGCAACAATCATCTGATTCCTGTGCATTCTCTCCTGCGCTTTCAACTGCTGAATCTCCTGCTTCATACGCCGAAGCTGAATCTCAATTTCTTGCATCTTGTTGTTTCGTGCCATGAGCTTTTGGCGGAAGGTGGAGATGTCGTTCGTACGACTGGCATCCGTAAAGTACGACTGGAGGCGTGGGGAAAAGAGATCACACAGGAAGCCTCCAGGTTTTGCCTCTTGCTCCTCAAGGTGCGCGAGGATCGCTGGCTGAGGTGACTGAGAGTAGAGAGGTTCGATGTGTCTAACGTAGCACTCTTCGCAGGCGGTGAACTCGGGAACCGTAGAAGGGAAGCTGTACTGCTTTTGGCCTGAGACCAATTTCCCTTGTTGACAAGCAGGAATAGGGCCCCATTTTCTGACGAAATCGATCAGTGGCGTGATATCTCGTGTCTTCGTTTCAAGTGTACTCTGCGCAACGGCGGCCATCTGATCGACTAT